TAAAAATTAAAAAAAAATAGACTACTCTAGCTGAATAGGCTATTACTTACAGCAAAATACATTCCTAACTAATAAAAATAAGAACAAGCACCATTGCTATTAACCATAGGAGCAAACAGGAGTAAACCCTATGCCAACTGACAGAAGCTGTAGCTACTTACACTTTCATTTTTTTGGAGGGTGGAATTTCATTGATGATTACAGGAGTAGCACATCTCTTGGCTTTCATTTTTACATGATGTTTTTCTTTCTGTTCCAAATCTTTCTGAGCAGAGAGTCTAGTAGATCTTCTATGATACAGGAATTGACAAAATTTATCTGAAATGAATCCATCTACTACAGATATGCAATTGTGCCCCACAAATATGAAAGTATGTCAAACTGCCAAGGGCTACAAAGAGTTTCATGGTATTATTTCCACTCTAAGAACTTAATCTCTTCTTGTCTTACTGATAGGTTTTGAAATTTCATCATAAAATGTTGGTACTAAAATGCAGCTTTTTTTTTTTTTTAAGGTACTGGCAATCACCTAGTACAACTCCCTCCTTTTATTGGTAAAAGTCAAAAAAGATGAGGTAACTTGACCCTGTTATATAGCTAATTGCTGTCAGACTTGACATTTGAGATCAGGTCTCCTGGTAACTGACTAAGGTGCTTATTTTTTCCTTTATTACTCCTTTTTGGTAAAATATAACACATACCAAAAAGAGTACAAAACAAAAATTAAGTTAAATGATTACAAAGTAAAGACTCATGAAATCACAACCCAGGCTAAGAAACAGAACACTGGCAGCACTACTATCCTGACTTGTTTTATAGTAATCATTATTTTTTCCTTATCGTTATGCCATTTAGCATGCATTCCATAAACATGGTATATAAGTTTGGAAAGAAAACAAAAAACAAAGAATAACAACAACAAAAAACCCCTTTAGATAATATAATCAGACTACTGCATGTATTTTTCTCTGTCTGGTTTGTTTCACTCAACATTATGTTTATGAGATTCAACCACCATGATTCATATAGCTTTAATTCACTGATTGTCCATGCTGTCTAACAGTCACTGTAGTAATGTACCACTATTTATCCAGTCTACTGCCAATTTTCACATATGTCTCTTGGTACACATGTACACACGTTGCTGTTGGGTATAAGTTGTAAGACTGTTAGGTCATAAGGACATTGGTTATATCAACTAAAGCTGTTTTCCAAAGTGACTGTACCAATCTATGCTTACCCTGGCAAATTTATATTATAGTCTGAATTGCTCTACACCCTCCTGAACACTTGATATTGTCAGATGACTTAATTTAGCTGGTATCTAGTAAAATCTCATTGTGGGTTTTTTTTTTTTTTAAAGATTTTACTTAGGGTGCCTGGGTGGCTCAGTTGGTTAAGCGACTGCCTTCGGCTCAGGTCATGATCCTGGAGTCCCTGGATCGAGTCCCGCATCGG